ACGTTGTCCATTATTGCTTGTAGTTGTCTGTAGAACACCTCCTTCTTCTCTTGTTCTGAGACGTTTGTAGGCGCATAGCATTGAGTGACTGTAACTTTCCTTCCTTTTGAGTTGAACCTGGCTGTCATTATCCTGGAGGAGATTGGTTCCCACTGCATGAGAGCTTTGGTTGCTGTTGGTGACATCATGATGGCCATTCCCTCGGTGTGCTCGAGGTTGTCCTCTGAGTGGCCAGAATAGATTATTGTCTCTCCAGTTGGTAGTTGGCACCTTCCCGTTCCGTTCCATCTACTTTCGTAGATTCCCAAAACTTCTATTCCATACCTTCTCATATCAGAGGCTATTTGGGCAGCTTTTGCAGTTTCGTACGTTGTACGAACATTCCAGGTACCCATCCTTATTTTTGCTTTCATCGAAAGAAGGCACATCGGCTGACTGGCTTTCTGAAGGCTTTCACCAGCCTGAGTCATTTCACTTCCCCGATTCCAGCGAAAAATAAGACTATTGTTTATATTTTTAGAATTTTTAACATATTTATTCGTTGAAGTTTCTGTAGCGATTTGGTTGTTTTACGGGGAAGGAGTTGCTAGCACCACGCCCCAACCCTCCCTCTTTCCCCGGGCTTGGAACCGGCAAGAAAACTAGGAAGCTAGTAATCTAGGCGAGGTTAACAAAGATGACTACGAACAGATAATATCCAACATATCACGAACACTTGATGAACAATTTTTTGTAGATATCGACGTTATGACTAGCTTCTGACCCGGTAATTTTTCTCAGAATCACTACCGATGACATAAAAAGGCAAAAAGGAAGACACCAATCGAAGTTATTTGCTGTCACTAGCATACACTTTTTCCGATCGTTTATAACCAGTGATGCAAGATCAGGTGCACTTTTCGCAGTAGCACCATGATGTCTATGGTGTCGTCACAAATAGGACAGATACAGACGTGATTTTAAATGTCTGTTTCGGGAATGGGAGACAGATTCGCTGTGTTGGCGGGATCTGTAGTTTTAGGAAAATGATCAACTTGAATATTTCCTAATCTACATTAATTTTCATACAAACTATTTACGTCAGCCACATCCACTGCCAACATACTGAGGAAACACATGCATTTTAACATGAACCATTGCACTTGAAAAGCCCCTGTTGGGTTTATAAGCATAGGCCTTTACATCAGTAAGCCTCATTTAAGGGGATTTTGAAACGGCACTACGATTCCCTACACTGTGTGAATTCTTGCAACTACAGTTTCTCAAAGAACATATCATCCAATCTGAAGTCTAACACTATTCTATATCATTTGTTGAAACAGCTGCGTTGTGCTTATGCTTGAAGAGATACCCTGTATCCCAGTGATCAGTGCATGCAACATGTTTGATGAAGGTGATCTTACTTGTTTAGCGTTCGGTCATCCAAGAAGTCTGACACCTTCTGGCAAAGGTTTTTGGACAAACTCACACTGAATAAGTTCGGTTCAGATGCTAACCAGCAAATAAACTGAGAGGAAAACTGTACTTCCAAGAACGATGCGGACAGTCCATGTCGCTTAGAGGCGAAAAGCTGAAAACTTATGGCTATTCGAGCTTGAAAGTTATTAGTCTCAGCCACTAATAAGGAATAAGATTTGATGGAGAGCGAGTATGAAGACAATTACAATGCAGACAAAAGTGAATACAAAAACAAAACCTCTCTGAGCAGAAAGCAACGGGATATAGTAGTCATCAAAAATGAACGGTACTAGTTGGACTGAGGTGATACGATAACTCTTATATTGCGAAGACTGGATGAAGTTATTCTGAAATAAGTGACCCATCTACTAAAATCAGTAGCTTACCTAGCCTATTAGTAGTAAGAGTGAAGAATAAACTCAAAAGACCAGATTCTATAAGAGTCTGTTAACAAGTAAGCTAAACTGAGGTGAAATGAAAGTTGTGGAAATTATCCACAATGAAGTTTAAAAGTTTCATAGCCCGCACGGATGCATATTTGTTAACGCAAAACTGAAAATACTTTAGTTTATTTCGTTTTAATCTATTTATTCTAACCGTAGTTATTTTGGTGCCGGAAAGTCGAACTAAATGTCCACGCTTTTACACTACTCTTTATACATCATAATCTCTAAACATATGTCGTCAGATCATCACTGCCTATATTACTTTTACGTATAGTATCTCAACTTGGTGAGGCGATTCAGAGTAAAACACACTGAACCAATGTTTGTTATTGTTAGACATAAATCTTTTGAAGTCCCACTCTCAAGTTCCCCTTCGACCTTTAGTTTCAAAGCTGCAGTAACTAGTTGTTTGTGTTTTGCACTATGTCAGTTGGTTTTGGTATTACACGTATTTTATGTAACCGTCAAGTTGCTTTATAAAGAGTAAGGGCACTGACATCATCCCACTGTCAACGATACAAGGTGACTAGTTGAAACGTCTACTTTGCCCTTTAAAGTCTGCAATTTATTGTGGATTTTACTTGCTGTGTTGCAGAAATAAGAATACACGGATGCCTATTATTTATAGGTTTTCCACGTGAATACCATCTTCCCATAGTACAAGAACCTGCCAATTATGTGTCAGTAGTTGTCACACTCACATCTGATACATCATGCCCTTATCTATATGTCGACTTGTTGGTTGTAAAGGAGTTTAACCGCCTAACTTTATATGTTTCTGGGTGTAAAAATTAATTTATATCAAGCGATAAAAGGTTAACGGATATCAGTTGTGTGGTGTCAAATAGTTTGAAAACTGCAATATATATATATATATATATATATATATATATATATATATATAATTTACTCCTATTAGCATCCAACTTCAGCCTTAATTTGCGAAGAGACGTGCATGCAGTTGAACTCAATGGCATAATGCGAGCAGCAAGCTAAATGAGGAAGATTTCAAACTACAGTGAAGACGTATGCGTAGATGTGGATTAACGCTTTAATCTATTCCAGACTACATCATCATTGTGTATGTTACTTAAATTATCATTAAAAACCAAAGCACAGTGATCATCAGTTTCAGACTCTTTAACAGTGAGTAAGCATGATGCGCAGCACCTAAATGAACCTATAAATTAGGTTCTAAAGTGAGCTACAAAAAAGTCAAGTGTCTTGATTATGGACGTAACTTTCTATTCGTATTACATTGTAAAGAAAATAAATAAATAAACAAGGACGTGACAAGTACAGTTTATTTACACTAGAAATTTCAAGATGCATAGTACGAAAAATCAGAGTAAATCACCTGAGAATGATTCACAGATAATAGGGAAAAATAACAGAAGCGTGAAATTATTCAAAATTAACAATACAAAAAGGAGACAATTTAGTAAAATGCTTAGAAGAAAAATTATCAGTTAGAAATGGATGATAAACATATGTGGATTGTATTCATACATATCACCACACAGTGATTAAAAACTGAAGATATGGATGATTCGCTTCAGCACGGAAGATCAAAGTGAACACAGCATAAGGAATCGGAAGGTGATACTGTAAACTTTGCGATAGATCCTGACACAAAGGGGAAGGTGAGGCCACTGTCAAAAACTAAGTGTCCTTCATCCATAAGCGACCGTACATACAGACTACAATGATATTAACAGAAACAACAATTAAGGTTAAACATATGGAAGCAGTTCTGATGTATTAGCACGAAACCATTATAAGTTATTTTAGCACATTGTAGATAAACACACATCAACAATAGCAAGTATTAATTTTTAAAAGTCACAAAATACTAATTTATGGAATCTAAACTTTCAGAATGACAGCAGCACTTTCATTTCAGGGGAATAAGGATGTAGTCTTACGAAGAAATTAGAATGCGGTTGTATATTGTAAGATAAGACAGTCCCGTCTCTGAATTCGAGAACTTTCTTTCACCTGGCCGAAGAAGGCGATTATATTCTCGCACACTTAGTAGACGCAAAGCATCATCTAGACGGTAATACAGCCTCTACGGAATTAAAACGCTATTAAAAGCAGTTCACCTATGTCCTTATTATATAACTGAAGATGTGGCGACAGGATCGACCAATCCAGAACTCTGTATGCAGAGAGGACTTGTTCAGAAATCATTTCCCCCTTGGTCATGCCACTAGACGAAATTCCATCACCCACTCATATATATATATATATATATATATATATTGACATTATCAAGTAATAGTGTTTACTAACAGTTATTTCCTTCATTTTACATGCCGATTATTTCATGGTGAACTGACATTTTCTGTATGAAACATATCATCCCAGTACTAGCCAGTTAACAAACACATTCTACTCCCTTGAAAAAAGTTATCGAATGTTTTTTTTATCGTGACTAATAACTATCATTCCTTTTGTACTATGCCTCGGTGGTTTAATGGGAGAACACTCGTTAACCATACACGTGATTCAGAATTAACTCTTGGTCGATGATGTGCTCCTAAACCTCACCTACTTTACTGACCGGTGATAGGCCCGAAAAACAGAGGGTGTGTGTGTGAGGCTAGCAACTTTACCCCGTAAAAATAACACCACCACTCCTAGAAATTCATAAGTTTAAAGCCGTATGGTTCCACTCGGAACGCACAAAATGTATTAGTGCACTTTCATAATATTCCGTCAATGTACTTGGTTAACCAAGTTTTTCAATACAAACACCGTTTTTTCTCTTATTTTACCACTTGTAACTCATTAGATTTTATATCCGTAATCATATTATACGTAAAAAAAGTGTGTTCACTACATACTTGGCTATGGTTATAGTGGTAACAGATTTTTAACTTTATAACTATAAGGACCCAATGAGAGTAATATTCACAGAAGTACTCTTTGCTCAGACCTACCTTTGATCCATACTACAGGAATACATCTACCTCTGGAATCAAAAATTTAGCTTTCATGACATCACAGATAAATTCATGAAGTAATGTGTCAAAAATTTCAAAACTAGAGAATTATATTTTTGCAGAAGGTGTATTAGGGCGAGACAGTTCTTATGAAACAATACAACTAGGATAATTTTAACAATCGAAACCTTTTGACTTCTTAGTTAATTTTTCTGTATAAGCAATCTGACAAAAGGCTGTGGCAGAACTTGCTACACATTCTTCCGTTGTGCAAGCACAAATCGAAGAAGTTCGTTTCATTTCTTTAGCATAGATTTGCAAATGCCTTATACGATATTTTCGTATGCTCATATTTTTAAGCTACTGAGATAAGGATGTCAGTTCAGAAATGCATTTTTGTGGGAGATGCTATTATCAGATATTTTGTCCATTTATTAGGAAAGTTAAGATAAGAAATAATGACAAGGATTAGTACTTTAGGTGGATGTTTTCGGTGTGGTCATTCATCTCTGTGGTAGATAATCAAGCTATTTTTCGTGTTCCTATTTGAAAATAAAAGTAATGGGTATATACCGTTACTTCTTCTTTGGTAAAACAGACTCTTTCTAAAAAGAAATATTTTCCAATCATTATGCTTAATGTAGATCAGTTCTTTTAGAAGAACTGTACTAGGTTATAAGTTACAAACAGTTTCCTGAGGGCAGACTTACTTTTTACAATTTTATTTTGTTGTTTTTTATTTATGGATTGATTCAGTACATAAGTCAAAATTATTAACCCATCCAGTTTTTCTTTCTTACTTCATTTGTGTTTCTGGTCAACTGTATAAATGAACGTGAATTATTCGTAAGTGAATGACAATCTACTGTTTCAAGTGATAAGAGTCAAGCCTTAACATTAACTTTCAATATCAACACATCTCATTTTCAAGTGTTGGTTTGTAGGGATTTGATTGATTTCAGGATTTCATCATGAGCTGACATTAGTTAGAGAACCATTGGAAAACCTGGGCGTACTGGACAGCTGTTTCGTCCTAGTTTGGGACTCTTCAGCAGTACGCACCCACCGGGATTCGAACCCAGGACCTTCCGGTTACAAGGCGAGCTCGTATACCATTAAGCCACTGGGACCCGATCCAATGGTCCTTGAATTCTAACTTCTGCCAATTCACGACATAGCGCGACCGCTAGCCAATGTCTTCGGCGAGTATTTGTCCTCACACCCGACCAGCTGCACCCTACTGGTCACGACTTCCCACTGGAACCCAGGTAACTACCTACCTGAATAGGGCCAGTCGCCAGTGAGCATCTTATTGGTATTCAAGTGTTGGTTTGTAGGGATTTGATTGATTTCAGGATTTCATCATGAGCTGACATTAGTTAGAGAACCATTGGAAAACCTAGGAGTACTGGACAGCTGTTTCGTCCTAGTTTGGGACTCTTCAGCAGTACGCATCCACCACAGGGGATTCGAACCCTCGCCTTGTAACCGGAAGGTCCTGGGTTCGAATCCCGGTGGGTGCGTACTGCTGAAGAGTCCCAAACTAGGACGAAACAGCTGTCCAGTACTCCCAGGTTTTCCAATGGTTCTCTAACTAATGTCAGCTCATGATGAAATCCTGACATCTCATTTTGTTTTTTTTTATTATTTCTCCTTCACGTTCCCAGTGGAACATCGGGCCTCAAGCTAGTGGCTTAAAGTTTCTGTAGTTGTGTTTAATTTTACAGAATGTGGTTGCTAGCCTCATGCCCAACCTTTCCGCTTTACCAGCATTATTTCTGGCTTAGCGAGGTGAAAGGAGTGCGTCGTCTGGGGATCGAACCCCGGACCATGTGCATGGCCGACGAGCGTCCTTACCACTGTGCCACCGACGCACACATCTCATAGTGGCTCAATAAGAAGGTGAACTTTGTGCTGTTAACCATTACAATAGTTATATTCGAAAGAAACTGAACTGTAATACAAAAGTGAAAATTATTTTGACGCCAATACTTAAAGGATATATTCAGTTAAAAGGACATAGACTTACTTCGAAGCGAAACCACGTGGTTGAGTAACATTAAATATAGCTATTGTAGAAAAAAGATGTAAGAAACAGGCATAAATTACCAATTGTATTGCACCAGTTGATTATTTCTAAAAAGGTTGTTGATATGATCTTTCCTAATGGATAATTAAACAAGATATCATAATGCTGATGAGACAGACAACGGGCAATGAGGAAACAAGCATAAAATGGACCCTCACGAAAAACCTGGCGGATCTGGACTTCGCCGATTATATATGTCTGATTTCCCACAAACTGGAAGATATGCAAGTGGAAAGCAACAAGTTGGCAGAAGAAGCATCGAAGATAGGAATTCAAGTGAACATAGATAAAACAGAGGTGATGAAGATTACTGGCCAACAGCCACAGCGACAACAACAAAAGACACCAATCAACATAAATGGGAGGAACCTGAAAGAAACAACCTCCTTTACCTACCTGGGAAGCATCGTTTCAACTACAGGCGAACGGAACTGACGAGGATATCAAAGCAAGGATCGGGAAAGCAAGGAAAGCTTTCATGTCTCTCAAGTCTGTGTGGAGGTCAACAGCACTACTCAGCATGAAAACGAATATAAGATCCGGATTTTCGACTCCAATGTGAAGTCAGTGCTACTTACCATACGGATCAGAGACTTGTCGCGTCATAAAGAGTATCTCAAACAAACCTTCAGACCTTCATTAACAGTTATCTTCGCTCAATACTCAAGATCAGATGGCCGGCCAGAAAAGATCAGCAACAGGGATCTCTGGCAATGAGCGAACCAACCAGGAACCGATTGTGAAACAAATAGGCAGGAAGAAATGAAGGTGGATTGGCCATACTCTGAGGAAACAAGCCATCAAGTGATATCACAGGCTTTCAATCGGAACTCGAACGGTAAGTAGCGAGTTGGTCGTCAGTGCAAGGGTAACTTGGAGGAGGTTATGTGAAGAGGAGATAAAAGCATGTGGGAAAACTTGGAGTGGGGTGAAAAAGTTGGCAGAAAACCGAAGGCAATGGAGATGCGCAGCTGAAGCCCTATGTTCCTCTAGGAACTAAACGAAACAATAATAATATAAATAATACAGTACGATTAACATTTCCAGCTTGAGTTACTGCTTATAATTTTTGCATACCAATCTTCACAGCAAATATGATCAAGTGGAAAGCGTTTAGCAAATAATCATATAAAGTGATAACTATTGTATTATTTTAAAACGAACATCAGATATTATATGCCTAAGGATTTCGCCCTTTCACAAAGAAGCCTTCATTTATAAATGTTAACCTGAAAGGTGGTGTTACAGTGTGGAGAGTTGGTCTTCTATACCTTTAATAAAGAGATATTCTGTGGAACAGACGATGCATAGATGAATTGAAGGTGAGCTGCTGATTCATATCGGTGCTATGTTTACACCTGCTTCTACAGAGTCTAAGAAGCGTGCTGCAAAAAGCATCTTCTGACTTAACCATCCATAATTCCTTTCCAACCTCATCCTAAGTCCGTTAATATTGCTAAACGAGGAACACGATGATTTGGCATGCGTAACACATGTTCTATCCATCTCAATCAATGCAACTTTAAAACATCTTCGGTTGACTTTCCCTCTTCACCTAACCCTACGCCAAACCTGAATATTCTTGATCATATTATACTGTTTGTGCGTCGGTGGTATAGCGGTTAGGACGCTCGCCGACCATGCACATGGTCCGGGGTTCGATCCCCGGCCGACGCACACCTTTACCTCTCTAAGCCAGAAATAATTCTGGTAAAGAGCAAAGGTTGGGCATGAGGCTAGCTACCCCATCCTGTAAAATAAACTCTGCTACAGAAACTTCAAGCTACTAGCTCGAAGCCCTATGTTCCACTGGGGAACGTGAAGGAAAAATTATTATTTATTATTATTATACTGTTTAACACGAGAGACAGAACGCAAAAATTTGTATTCAAAGGCAGTTAGTCTTTACAGGTTTTCCATCTTCAATGTCCATAACCTTAAAGCTGTAAAGAAGGATAAGTGAACTGTCAAAGGTGGCATAGTTGGTTTACTGGTTGTTGCTCGAGGAGAATAAAGTGATTATTATTATTAATATTTTACTGCAATTGCATCAGTTTCCGTCAACAATGCAATTACACCCTAAGATCACGATCATAATGAAAACAAATTAAATTATGACAGTAACTCAGTTTAGTCTTACTGACGATTGTGGCATGATGGACCTAGATAACCGTTTGTTCCAGCCAACGTAGAACGTTGGCTCATTAACATATGAGAACAACTACCATATTAAGGTAGCAGCAATCACTGGTAGTCGCTATACTCATCGAAGAAATTCATTATTAAACAAATCACTTCATCTCCATCTACACATTAACAGTGGACAGAAACATGAAAATCGAAGTCTGTTAAGAATATCAATCAATATTTGATTGGAGAAGGAAAATTTCAGTATAAAATACATCAAAACGTACCATTAGTTATCGGATCTCGAACACTATACAACATTTTACAGTCTTCTGGACTAAAAATAAGAGAATTGTTGTATAATGCCTCAGCCTTTTCAGCCAGTAATTCCAAGTAGGTAGCATCTGAAGTATTCGATATTTGATGCTGGTCAGTAACATTCAGTTGTTCAACATTACAGTCTGACGAAGATGTAAGAATTTCAGATTGTGATGTATTTAGAGAAGGAACTATCTGTTGAATTGTTTTTAACAATTCCATGAGATTTGGTTTAGGTATTTTATTGATCTGATAAGACCAAGAAGTTGATCCTGTACCCGTAGAGATAACTATGCCACTAGATTTTTGTTTTTCACTTTTAGCACCGTCAACTGAGATATCGTAAACGGACACACTAAAAAATGATGAAAAGTATCATTGTATTTGTGCTTCATTGACCTCTACTTGAAAAAAGACCTGCTAGCAATAAACATCTACCTGACCGACTATTTCAAACTGGTTGCCTGTGAGGGTAAGCAGGTGCAGGCTCCTGCCAACCTTTAGATAGTACTCTGCACTTGAACGAAGAAAACTTTCAAATGTTAATCTCTAACCGATTAACTAATTTTTGGCTAAAGTTTGTGATCACAACGAGGCCACAAGATAAACCTGACACACACTAAAGCATATTCAAAATCCAAAGAAGTACTACACATACCATCAACAGTTAGTATAAATGCGATTTATTCGAGTTCAGGATTTAATGGCAGACAGGAGGAGGACACCAGGAAGCACTATCGCGATACTTGAGCCAGAAGTTGGCTCTGGTTAAAAATGGATTGTGATCCGAGTGAAATCGGAAAAGATCGACCTACGACTACCACCACTCAAATCTTTAATGATTCTCCTGTAGGCCTAAAATCATTAGCCTGCAGCTAGCACTATGATATCTGATAAAAGTGATTGCTAGAGAAGCTCACTCAGTTGATGGTAAAACTAGTCGCTGCTGTTATCCGTTAGTGCCTAGGATAAGGCGACGAAAAGAAAACGCTTCCCTTTCTTACTGGCCTAACAAAACATAAACAACTGTTAATTGGAATGTAGCCAAGTAGTGCAGCAAAGACTCTGATGCTTAATACAATACCGATACCAGCTACACTGGACGCCAGTGTCACAGGATTCCCGGATAAGCACACATAAAACCTACTACTTGAGCTGACAGATGGAGAAGTTATACGAAGCAATTCACCGGAATCTTGCATGAGCATACATGATTAGGGGAACTTTCTAGGGTTCTGGTTAAATCTATCTGTTGAGTGAAAACTTGCTTTAAGAACAGAAGCATACCTCTACATAAAGAATTTTAATAGTCTACAGTATAAGCAACGTATACTTAAGTATTTTTGACAAAAAAGAAACAAACAAAAACAAAACTATGTAGAAAGTATTGTAAAGCTCAATTGAGCTAACTTACCATGCACTTAAAGATTCTCCAGCAAATACCTCATTCAATGCTAAAACAGGTAATACGGTTGTAGTCATATCCTCTGAGCAACAAAAGGGTGGGAAAAGTTCACACGATGATACATCTAGTGCATAATTTGACGTTCCAATTTCAAAACCATCTCGGTTAATTGGTTTACGTTTATCTAATGGCTGTATTTGTAAATTTTCACCCTTAAGATGAGTTAAAGTGACGCGTATACGCCGGCGTAAAAGCCATCTTAAAAATTTGAACCAAACATTAAAAGAATAGGTGTATAAGACTATGAGACTTTATCAAAATAAATTTTAGCCATAATGACATTTGGATAGAGTTTTAATCAGTGAGTTGTACACAGTGAAGATGTCTATGTTTAATGCCGTACAATACAGTAATCATTCTACATATCAAAGGTATTTTTTATTACAAAAGTCATATTGTCAGTAGGACATCAGTATTTCAATGTGTTAGGCGTTATTTTATAGACACGAAATACTTATTAGACATCGCCAATGAAGTAAGACAATTGGTAACTGAAAACTCATTTGAAATTTCCTTAGCAGCATATAGTCACTACATTTTGTCTAACCAACCTTCAGTTAGCTTTTTGGCTGTTTCGCTAATAGACCTAATTTTTTTAAACCAGTAGATTTGTAGTGCTACTAGCCAGTGGATCTGAATCCCACTCCATTGACTTCAACCTGAGAAAATGGGTAGAATCTTTGGCTTTCTCACAACATGTGTGGCTCATAGGCATATGCCATCGAAACCAAAGGAACTTGCAGATGTATAAATAGCCATCGTTAAACTAGTAGTTATCAGTGACGTAAAAGAATTATGTTGAAGTTCAAGAGGGGTATTTGATGTGAAAACTTAAAGTTAGGCTACTGTCACGCAAAAGCTGCACCACAGGAAAGGCACTGAAATAAAACTCGGGTGTATTAAGTCGAAATAGTCGATTGTTATGAGATAAACGCAGGTGTATAATATGACACATAATTATATGGGATGAAACATCAAGTAGATACTTCCACACCATAATACACAATTTTGAGCCATATCGTTGCTGACTCTTAAAACCTTGACAAACCCACTTTGGCCAATTTCGGTTTTCTAAATAGCCTAAATTGAGTCACAAACATTGTGAATAAGTAGTTTGTTTCCACTTAATCATTGTTGACTTTGTTCTACCTTATCCTATTTAAACCGACACAATTCTCATAAGAGGTTAACGGATTTAAATGCTTAACTTACGCTCTAACGATTCCTCTTGATGAAAATTCACAACCCACAAACAGCTCTCACTCTTTTTTTACCTAGCACTCTATTCATAGTCTCACAATGCAATGAAGACACCATTGGTTTGCTTCTGCTTCAAAAAAACTAATATAAATTAGAACTCCATGCGATATGGTTTCAGTATAGTAGTCATTCGGACACCTCATTGATGTCAGATATGATGAAACTTTACAATTACAAAATAGTCTCTTTGTATCTCTGCCACACGTTTGTGCAAAGTTCTAAGTTAAAGATTTTGTCAGTGTTAAAATCGTATGAGTCCTTTAAAATATCTCATATAAGTGAATCGACCACTCTGTTTTATCACTTTACAACCTATCTTTGAGCTAAAAGTCCAGGAAGACAAGTCTCACTGAAACCGTCTGAAACAGACCCAATGAAGTCTGCCTAGTTACACTGATTTAAAAGTAGAATTTAGGGATTGTTGTAAAACGTAGTTCCATACTACTATTACTTAAGATTGTTTGATATATTTGTTATTATCAGTTGGATAATGTTTCGGGTAATGCCTTCGGATAAATCCATATTAGTGCATCTCATATACGCATTTATAAGATTACCTGTTCTTTGTCACCAATATATTCGTCAAACACAGGAAAAGACGTTGATCGACTTGATGAAAACTGACACTAAGCCAGTGATGGAGATAGAATACTTCAGCTACAACATCGGCAAAAGAGCACCGCCTGTTGTTTTAGAACATTGGCCTACACTTAGACTACGTATAACTTTACACACATGATTACACATAAAAACACCTCACATATAAAGCATACCTATGAAAATGCTAAGTCCTTATTGAAGAAGTTACATTAACATTTACCCGAACCAAACAATTATACTCTTGCAGAAACGTAGTAGCGTACATAGAATGCTCTAGTAACAAGGAAAACAGTTGATAACTTGGAGGCTATTAAAAGTCATAGGATTTCTATAGCCGCTTCAGAAATAACTGAGGATACTTTCAGCAAGTATTATACGTGAGTAAAAACTGCTTAAATGCAAACTAAATAAAGGTCTTCACGACGAAAATGTGTAGTAGTGAATGAAAAAAATAAAAACATTCTGATTACTAGGCAATACTAATTTGCAATATAATTTAGTAATCGGATGAATCCAAGGGAAGCAATATTAAGTGAAATAGTCTCTAGGAAAAGTGGAACTTTAATGGTATTATAAAGCAGACCGCTGAAGCGTTATGTAGGAAGCCCTAAGGAGAAGATTATCCATTTTACATCTCTACTGCGACTACTCACCAGCGAATTCCCACATGAATGGAGCTTAGATATCAGCTTTGTAAATCTGGTGGAAGTTATGAGCAGTATCCCAAATATGAAAGAATGTAACGTTAAATGACCTAAGAAGTGTTTATGGATGATGGTAATTAATTATTTACTGTAAAAACTGGATAGTTCATGAGGTCGTAATGTGGTTTTGACTGAATGGCTCAGATCACTCACCATCTGAATTTATAAGAATCAGTTTAACTAATGAAGTATCAAAGATCCCAGGGTATGCGATCGTACATAGACTTGGTGGAGTCCAAGGCAAACAAACAAAAGACGAAACTGCTGTTTAAGACTAGGATATACCAATCAAATTATAAAAAGAAGGGTTGTCTTTCGAAGTGACCATATAGTCCCATTGAGAATAAGTACTAACGAAACGCAATTTTATGAAATGCCCTAATCGAAATCTGATCACCCATGACATACCCATACAAGCTAACGTCATCGTGATTGAAGGATGTGTTGCGCATGGTGATACATCACTTTTCTCAACCAGTATTAGTTGATACAGAATGATTATATTGGCCGTCTCAGAGTGGTAAAACCGAAATATGGCATTAATTCATTATGTCGGTGGCACAGCGGTTAGAACTCCCACAGACCATGCACATGCTCCGGAGTTCTATCCCCTGCCGATGCACACCTGATGTCAATGGTCGGCCTGCAAACTTTGGGCTACCGATATCACATGCTAAAAATTCCATACTTGTACCAAAATATGGTGTAGAATCAAGCTACAATCAAAATTTTAAAAATGTCAGCCTTAGAAACAAGTTGTCATTGTAATCGAGGTTCAACCTGGCATTATTGGGATATATCTGGAAAAGTTGTTTGTTTAGATTCCAACTGGATCCAACTGTATTGCTTCACCCGTTTTAAAAATGTGTTCCTTACTGGAAATTAAATCTTATTTGTACACATGTAAGCAGTTGGACAACACTAGTTATCCATTTTTGCTGATTGGTAAGACTAACAACTTAATTATTTGTAAGTAGTCAAAATTGTTTCACTAATAAATTTCACTACTCCTGGAGTTCGAATTAGCAGAAGAATGAACCAAAGCGCTTTCGCGCATCTGCCTTTCTATGCGCCCAGGGATACTGAATTGCTCAAACTTTATCTTTTCCACAGACTCCCTCACACAAAGTGATATGCTTTAAAAAGATTCCCTACGTGATACATTTATCGTGGATGTAGATTTATTCTTGTGAAATGAAAAATTTCTCAGTATTATATCATTTGTACCCTAACCATAATTGAACTGCTTACACGTAAGTTAGTTAAGTTAGCAGTCGGAATAATTTGAATTAATAGCACTGATGGTACAGATTCCATGGAAAACAATTTAACGACTTTTTTTTTTCTTTTTTTCCAGAACGAAGTCTCTATGTTTAGCTGGTACATCACTGCGCTACTTATTTACGAGGTCCTCTAATTTTAATTTTCACATGACTTAAGTTTCCGTTTCAACGGAAATTACCGATGCAATGCAGTAATCTTAGTCATGAACTTCAAAAAGTGGTAATCCGGATAAGGAAGCATTAATGAAACTTTACTTTCATTAGGCATTTTATTGATCAACTCAAATATTCACACTTATAACTGAGTAAAAACAAACAATTACTACCACAGAAATTATTAAATTTACCGAAAATGATTGGATAACAGAAGATCAATAGTTGTTGAAACGTTTGAACTACACCACTTTGGTAAACATAAGAATCCATGAGAGCTAGACAGAAAATTATTGGGTAATATTAGAAAATAAACGCAAAAGGCAACATAAAGAGGAAAAACAATGACAATTCATAGAATCTCACAGCTAATTTTCAATAATAAATATAAATACAACAGCCAAAGCTGTTCAACATTAGGCACCACTGATTTATTTGTGTAGACAATAAAAGTTAGAATTGAGAAGATTGTTACAAACTTTGATTTTGATGCATACTTGGCAAAGTCTTAACTTGTATTACCTTTCATACTTTGCTTCCACAAAATTTACCACACATAACCATGTACACAGTCACAGAGTTAAGATATTATAGTAAAACATATTACTGCACTAAGTTTTGAGTGTACACGCCTAAGTGTATGTCTGCCTGATACTCGAAATATTTTTTTAAAAATTCTACCATGTTAACATTGGCCATTCCGAGCCAATATAAACTCTCGATTAAACAAAATGACACAATATATATCCAATTTATCATATAAATCAAACTGCAATTAAATGTAAACCGATAACGAAGGATTCATATACATGTGACGCGTGAATAACACATAATAAATACTACATTCACAGTTTTTAAAAGCCTTTACGCCTTGTCAAGTGTTGATATTGTGAATATATGTGGTAAGATGAGATAAAACAGGTTACACTGTGTTATGAAATGAAAATCTGTGTTACAGAATGTCTTATAAAAACAATAACGGGTACAAGGATAGGCAAAATATTCTACACCAAGTCCCTACGGTCATAAGAGTGAGTTAGGAACATCCGCATTCAGTGGATTTCTGCTATCTGTGGCAAAGTGTTAACAGTACTCACTCAATCTATATAAATCTAAGTTAAATTAAAATATGAGTACCCTCAAGCACATGGAAGTTGGATTTGTGGGACTTTAATGCCACCAGTACCAAAATACTGGTGTTACACCATCAGGAAAACATTTTTTCTGTTCGTTATGCGCCACATTTTCTGTAGATTTCCGCGAGATCAACATCGCAATTCTAACTTTGCCTTATTCAGTTGTTACCAATAATTTATGTAAACAAAGCGAACTAGGTAATCTTCGGAAGATGGTGTCATGGCTGCACGCTAGGATTCTGAACTGCCAGTCACAAGTAAAATCTCTAGAAATGTGATGTGTATCTGTAAAACTACACCAGAGTAAAACAATGATGATGGCCAGTTACTGTATACTTCTTAAAAACTGTCCATGTTCAGTGGAAATCGATTTTAACATACAAATATTATTTGACCTAAAAAGTACTGGCCTAAGCCGAAAGATAAATGAGAATCAAAGATATCAATTAAACTTTGTGCCGTAATGAACACAGAAAGATTCTACCTAGAAAACCGTCCCGAGCTAGGCTTGAAGGTCGGAATTCCAGGAATAGATGAATAACAGTGACTAGCATAGAAGGGGTGTTTCAGGACCATTGTCAGCCCACTACAAGAAAAAGAGTAGAAATTCTTTGGTTGAATAGTAGATAGTAACTAATAGTATGTGTCTAGTCCTTGGTGTTTGCAATGTGGCTGCCATATTAAATTCCTTCTAGATTGCATATACACCTTGCTGATAAGTGATAACAGACACGAAACTCAGTTTTAAGGCTTCCTGGCAATTGACTCTGATCATCTAACAGGAATAAAGATTGCAGTTTAGTTTAGCCGAATACAGAAGGTTTATAGACACAAGCAACTTTTTTCCAACTAGTTGGTGCGGAATATTCGACCCTAGTAAGGTTCTGATGGGAAGAGCTGCTGGTACGATAGGAGGAGACTACAATTATCATCAACTGTGATGAGAAGCGGAAATCAAAGATATAAGGTAGCAGTAAAAATTATGAATATGCACTTTTCAAGAATTGAAGATCATTTGGAGAGATTGTTATAAAGGCGACAAGTTAGTGGAGCACTTGAAGACGTGAGACACAAACAATGAGAAGAGTGCTTCAAAAAGTACTCTTAGCAGTCATTAATCATCTGCCTGTGGTTTAACTTTAACTCCAAAGTCATCTAAAAGTTGCAGTGGTTTTAACAGCGGCGGCAGATCTGTCCACAAGGATGACTGTCTAGTTTTTTTTAAATGTGGCATTAGTAGAGATATAGATAGGTAGCAATCGACAAAAGTTTCAATTCTGTAGCTACTTATAAGGCTGTTGTATGCATAACCATTAGATTTCTAGATGAAATTATGGAACAATACGTTTGCGGAATCCAAGTGGACATTAAACCCACCATATACGTACTTTCTATGTTTCCTGCTTTGAATTCACTGTTGGACTTCGTCAAACATGAAGCTCCCATGCAACTATTTTTCAATGACTTTTAAATACAAGAGTAACTTTATCACAGCTTACGATATGATTTCTTCGTTTTCGTCCGACTTCGTAATCAATTTCTCTCATTCGAGTCCCTACATAAGATACAGCAAACTTAGAATACGCAAGTAATATTTCTCAGTTAAGTAAAGATGTAGGGAAAAAATAAACTTTTTCACACTTCTAGTGATCATATGAGGATGTATTTTCCACCAAAGGCAAATCGTTTACAGAGACGTTTCTATAGAAAAGTAGAATCAGTTGATTAGCTTGTAGTATATTTGAATAGGTCGTCAGATAAAAGGTTGGAGAGATATCCCCTACTAGTATCTGAGCGCGCTGAATAGAACTGAACTGCGTGAAGGCTATGAACACTTTGTTCAAAGTTCAGAATCATCAGGTAGGTGACAAAGAAGTTTTTGCGAACCACTACTCATATAATACTCGGGACTCTAGGAATCAATGGCTGGAGACAATAGGCGACATGGCTCAAAATCGTTGTCAATGGCCAGCGCAGATGTATTCAGTCTCTGTAATCTTTCATATTCCTTTCTACCATTACCCATTCTGTTTCACTCTTATACTTGCCAGACTGTATTGATTCTCTTCACTCATCTTCTTGTCTACCTCTGTGTGCTATTTGGAACGTGGCAACTCGAACTGCTGCACTTCGGTGCCAAGTTCTATGTTGAATCCAGACAGACAGATAATACTGGTTACTTAAATCTAATCAGCAGAAACATACAGGCCTGAGTTCACTGCTTTTAAACGCTCACTAACAAGACATACAAAGATAATTGATGCTTGTGCTTGACAACAAAAGGCAAAAGATAACTGAATATACAAAAGTAAAACTTAGTTCACTTTGTAATAAGTCTTATTATTTTATAACTGTTGTTTGGAACTTACGATAAAGGGTCAGTATTGAGGCCTATCACCGGTTTATTAGGGTGCAGAATTTTGCTGGCACCAAAAAGAAATGTCCCATCTCCACCAGCAGTAAAAACAACATCAGCCCAATTAACAGAATCCATTGAATAAGTACGACGATCTACAACCCGCACTTCCAAACCGCGTCCTCTAACACACATGAAAGTGCAAACAATAATACAATGTTTAAAACATTTTCAAAGCATTAATTAAAAACTCCACAGTAGAATATGCATGAATGATTCCAACTGAAATAGATGATGCAGCTATATGAGTTTCTCAGTGCCCTAAAGCATTGAAGTTGAAACAAGTACGCGTACAACGAATTAGTCATTAAACTCTATAAGGATTGGATACGCTAGTGAACAGCATTCAGAAAATAACTTGGAAACTTATCAGTGGCGATGTACAGAAAAAATCTGATAACTGTGACGATTAGTTCGCATTTTAGAACTTAAGTAAAAGTGCTTTACACACAAAGACTAGTAGTGAGTGCGAAATTGTACATTTTACTCAGTGGGACATGAACCCAATAAAGAAAACTCTCATAAAACCATCACTTGATAATCTGGATTTGGAAAACATCCATCTACTACTCTGTTACAAAATTTAAGGTAGTTAAAGATTGACTTCTTGTAATAAATTCAATGAATAAACGTTTGGTGTACTTATTACTAATGGATTCTATCCTATGCAAAGAAAGGCAAACTTCTACGGATTGATAGTGAAAACCAACAAAATAACACTCACTGCGATGATATCAAAGTAGAGGTTATCACAGGACTAAAATGCTGGGTGCTTGGAAATGATTATTTATCAAATGTCTAACTGCTTGAAAAGTCTCCGCAAGGACCATGAACAGTGGTGGATGACAAAGGCAAAGAGATGGAAAAAGCATTGGTGATAAGCAACACTAGGCAACTCTTTAGACTCATCAGGGAAACGGGTAGCAGAAGGCAAATCATAAGCGAAACAATCTCGGAGAAAAATGGCACCATAATTAGCTCCCAGGATAGACGACTGGAACGCTGGAAAGAGTACTATTAAGAGCAGTTTAATCGACCCACAGCCACGATCAACCTTCCGAACATCCAACACCTCCCTGAATGGGATATAGACACAGGTCCTCCGTCCCTAACTGAGGTTTCTAAAGCTGGCACCAATCTGAAACTAGGCAAAGCAGCGGGACCTGATGGAATAACTCCAGAGGTATTTAAGTACGGTGGAGACAGTTTACTGTCTGCATTAACTGAGGTTCTAGGCAGCGTCTGGGAATCAGAAGAAGTCCCATCGGGTTGGTGTAAGTCACTGATTATCCCTATATACAAGAAGGGAGACAAGTCTTCCTGTGATAATCACAGAGGGATTAGCTTGACTAATATAGTATCTAAAGTCCTAGGCTCAATAATCATGCGTAGACTAAGTGGTGCTCGGGAGGTACAAACACGAGAGAGCCAGGCAGGCTTTAGACCAGGAAGAGGGTGTATTGATCATATCTTCACCCTCCGACAGATTCTAGAACATAGGAATTCCTACCGCCGCCCAACAATCACTATATTCCTTGACCTAAAGGCGGAATTCGATTCTGTTGATCGGGAAGTTCTCTGGAGATGCTTAGCTGTAGAGGGAATGACGAGAAAATACATTGCACTGATTAAGGCACTCTACTCGTACGCATACAGCCAGGTGAGGGCTTACGGTGATTTGTAATCTGAATTGGTGACGACTAGTGTCCGTCAAGAATGCCCATTATCCCCTTTTCTATTCAACTTCATCATAGATGTACTAATGGACTTAACCCTAATTGACTTCAGCGACTCGGGGATTGACTTGCTAGCAAGGAATAATCTCGTCGAGTTAGAATATGCAGACGATATAGTCCTTCTAGGCGAGGACGCTGAAAGAAATGGAGTGTCTTCTGAAGACCTCGAGCTGCAATCTACGAATGTTTGGCAAGCCATTCGCTGCCGCCAAATGCAAGATGATGTTACAGGACTGAACTACAGCGACTCCTAGATTAGAAATAGGGAGTGAAGTAGTATAACACGTTGACCGCTTCACTTATTTGGGAAGTACCATCAGCCGCAACGGGTTGATCTCTGATGAAATCTCAGCACGGATACAAGGGGCTCGTTTCGCATTTGCCAGTTTACGCCGTCTCTGGCGTACACAAGTTATCCGACTATCGACCAAAGGGCGGATGTACTGCTCATCAGTCCGCTCCGTCCTCCTTTATGGCTGTAAGACCTGGCCACTGAGAGTTGAAGACATGAAAAAGACTAGCTGTCTTTGATCATAGGTGCCTGCGTTGTATCTCCCGTGTGAAGTGGCATAATAATGTGAGCAATATTGAGGTTAGGCGTCGGGTGCTAGGTAAACAGGGGAAATCAATAGACGAAGTTGTGAAGTTACAAAGACTGAGATGGTTAGAACATGTGTTACGTATGCCTAGTCATCGCCTTCCTCGACGAGCAATGTTAGCGGATATAGGGTCAGGCTGGAAAAAAACTAGTGGAGGTCAAACCAAAGCATGGCACCAGTCAGTGAAATCTACAACAGTTAGTCTAAGCTACGTAGGAAGGTGTAGACTTCCTGACTGGTTGGGGTCCTCGGGACTGTAAAAACCAATAGTTGGAAACAATTGGTGACATGGCTCAAAATCGTTTTCCGTGGCGCAGATGCATCCACTCCTTGTAATTTATGATTTCCATTGAAACTGTTTTGTTTTTCGTTATTACTCTTCCTTTGTCTCACACCTCAGTTTACTGTCTCTATTATGCTTTTCTTGTACTTTCTTCTCTTGCTCTGTGTGCTACATGGAGTGTGGCAACTTGAACTGCCGCACATATGTGCAAAGTTCTATGTCGAAAACAGACACAGACAGACAGACAGACAGATAGACAACTGCTTGAAAATATCATACTGAGTTATGATCAAAGCTAAGTTTATTCGGTACTTAGTTTATTACTTTCCAGTTCTATTTTGTTTGCGAATTATAAGAATGCAGGACAGAAAGTTACTATACTAAAGACTTTCTGAATGAAAAAAGTGAAGTGAAACATATAAAATAATAATCTGATAACACCATTGTATGATAAATAAAACACATTATCTGCCCGAATAACACTGATTTAATCCATTTTCTTTATTATTATTATTGGTCTAAAACCTCTGAAATGCTTACCTGTGTCCAAAATAAAACTTCAGAGTCCTTACACATTTTAATGTCTACAAAGTACTGGGCACACAGTGGATTCACATGTAGCCTTGCTGCTTCATGATCATAGAATTTACGGAATTTTTCTGTACATGCAGTAATAACCAACTGGCAATTACACGGCAATCCTATTTATAACCCATACTTAGAGATTTCAGAAGCATGTACTAAATGTTACCATTCGGATAAGTCATTTATATCATGACATCGCTGTATTATTCAAATATAATTTTTCTAACGCACCTAAACTATTTACAACATTACTTCAATTAGAAATAACGCTTCGTATAGAGTTTCAAGTAATTTTAAAATGTGTTGATCATTATGCTTTCTGATTTACAGACAGTCATTTGCATCAAATTTCCAGCTATAGGTAGTTCAAGTCAACTGGAATATTTTCAAATATTTTCCAGATGCAACTGCTGCTTTTATGTCGTTTGCACTGCTGCAGACAAGGATTTTCTTATTGTTATTAAGTCTTTTTGCTCTAGATTGCTATTTAAGTCATTGTGCTATCAGAAGTTTGTGTTTTACTTTCATCAATAATAATAATAGCGTAAATAATTAGAATCATAATAAATAATAATAACAGTGTATAGACTATTTCTACCTGCATGCCATGATTAACAAACACCCTTATAAGTAATTTTCAAGATTCGATTTGAGGGAAACTATAACATTACGGCAATCATTTGAATCTTTCAACAGATTAATAAAATATAAGTAAAATTTGCTATTAAAAATCCAAATAGGTAACATAGCATATGAACTTCTTTGTTGTAACCTATAACCACTTATTTAGTTGTACCTTATAATCGAACATAAAATACATACTCTTCATTGTTTTTATCCTCAGCGTGAATGTACGTGAGGAATAGTTACGGTGAACTAAGTATTTAAGAATGAGGGAAGTTTTTCAAGACAAATAAAAATACGGGAAATAGCATGATTTTTCTTACTTACATTAAAGTACTTTGCAATTCAGATAATTTCGCGTGGTGTGTTTCATGTCGTGAGATCACAATCTGGTCGTCAAAGCCTTTCTTTTTCATCTAAACCAATTATATGAATTACTACAATTAAGCACACATCGATAAGCATACAGATTTTTTTAACTCATCATCGTTGTGATTTCCGGTAGATTTTTCACAATCATATTTGGATAACTTGGACAATATCAAAGCAGTTCTTGGTTTGAATGCTGGTGATTGTTTTGGCGAGAAGCTGAAAGATCTCTGCAAGTTTCTTAGACACGTGGTGGCACTAACGCAAACGAGAAGACGGCATAGGGACATATCCTGTTCAAACAGAAATGGTCAAAAAATATTTACATACAGATGATTTTCTAATAAAAAATTTGTAAGAGCTTATTAAAACTGACTTATGTAGAAATCCCCACGAAAGTGGATTACTTTCAGTTGTTCGACCTACGAAGGTATGCAGCCTTACAATTTTACCAAGTGGCTTCGCCTATTCAGCTAATACCGCCTGGCCACTCTGTAGCCCTTTGGTGATCATTTGTATCTTCATAAATAGGTTACGTTCATTAATTTAATAACACATTTTTGATTTTTTGATAGTATATATATGTATATATTGGTGAGGCTAGAATAATCGCTAAGTTATTTTACTCTCAAATATGATTCACAACAAGTTATTTTAAATAAACGTCACAAAGCCTAACTCGATTGGCTGAAACTACTGAAAGTCTATTAACCCAAACATGAAAATTGTCGTAACTGAGGGACGAACCAAGTTAGGAAACATAAAACTAGCAAGAACATATCTTGTAAATAAATTGAATAAGCTGACAACTTACTTTTCTCAGGTTAACGGCGAAAACGGTGACCAAGTTTCTACACTCGTCTGAGAAGTGTCGCGGACTATATTCGGCCACGAGTACACACCGTCATCGTCTTGGGTGAGCACCAGAGATAAAACAGCGACGAAAACACTCATATTTAGATGGATATTAAAATTAAACACATTGAAATTGTCTGGACATACTGACGCATTACACAATTTCAATGAATTCGCAAACTTGGAGCTTCTATACACCAAAGGTATAAAGTTAACTTTCATCACCACTCGTGATTAAGTGGACTGAAGAAATCCAAAGTCGTAACAACGAAAGTAACTCCATGATTTAACCTTAAGCTTCACTTACATAGATAATGAATAGAGCCATGATAATCTCGCCTCCTGTATTTACCAGCGTGACTACTTCTGTAGAGGCACTGAGTTTGGACGTACAGTTAGGCATTTTATGATTTCTGAATATCATCCCGCATGGCCAATCAAATGACAAATTAAGTTAGGTTATAGTCACCGTGATCAATACTAAGTACAGAATTGAAAATAATAAAGCCTTTGGATTCAATAGTCGTACTGAAACGGTAAAAGACGAAAGACTTGGTAAAGGAATGTTTATTTGGAAATTGGTATATCTATATAGCCAAACTATGTACAGCTAATCTTCAATGTACAATTTGCACAGATCTTCGTGTCGCGGTACTTCTGGCCTTCATATTGTGTTTCTTTGTGTTCCCTTCACGTCTCCCATGTATTTCCACAACGTTGTATCATTTGCCCTCTCTGACATCAAATGTATCTCCTTCCTATTTGATACTTTTATGCCTATGAGCGTTTTTTTATATATTTTTTAAATGTTATCAGCAGCACCCGCCACAGCACTACTACTAATCTCAACTTCGTTTTACAAGTTGGTTTTTCACATACAGAAATTTTAGAATCCATCTGCATAGGTTAAATCCATGTTCAGAAGACATTCATGTAAACAGCACTGTATACACAGGTTTTAATTTTTAATCTAACGTCCCTAAAATCGTATATATATATATATATATATATATATGCACATTAACCCGTGGAAATTGGCTAGTAAGGGAAAAAAGAAATGCTTGGTTTGTGTGAAGCTGTATTATTACATGGAAATAAAATTGAGTTATCGCAGAAACCCAATAGTATCCCTTGTGACTGAAAGACCACACTTTCGAGATAGAAACTGACTGAAAATAGCCACCCCCATACTGCAAACACAAACACATAAAACCCAAAACACATAAAAAAATCTCATTTCTGTGCCGAAGGTGCTATACATGAATTCAGCCGCCTTCTGAACGACACTAAAGAACAGCATATCAAACACCTTAGAAGAAACATTCTTTGTTATTTCTCTGACACCTTATGTTCTGCAAAACGTCTAGAGATAAACCATCTCAACTAATCACTTCCACCTACCAATTCATTTACTCCTGTGGAGCAAGTTATATAGGTCGTTTAGTGTGTATTTTCTTCTAAAAGTCGAAGAACATTATCCCACTTGGCTACTCAAGGTCTACACAATTGAGCATTCATTTATTCAGTCACCTCAGTAGTCAAAAGAAGCCTCCCGAAAATGCTTGAGCTTACTTTCCATTGCTGAGGATCTAGTATTTCAAATGGAAACCCAAGATTTACAAACACAGAAGAAACTTCTTCATCCCCTCCTCCTATCTTGGGAACAACTTCGAGCTCAACTGTCACCAATATCTTGTTATTAATACCTTTGCTCACTTTTCGTATGATGTTCATCAATATCACTTTCTTAACTAATCTTTTTTCTTCTCTTTCTACCTGCCACAATTTATTTTGATACTTGTCTCCATGCTCTTTCATTAACATCTAATCTTTCTAAACGTTTTCCACATTACTCACCCTTTGCAATAAACTTGCTGATCTTTGCTCTCTAGTTGTTATATGACTACTCATCACCGTTTTGGAATACTTTAATATAAATAATACTCCAAACTAAATTTATTCTTGTACCATGTTTGACGGACTTAATGCATACACACATACGAAAATAATTCTACACTACTGAGATTGTACAGGTGAATGAACTAGTTGAAAATAGTTTCTCGACTCAACTATCTATTCTGCACGCTATATCTGTATGGGTATTTTCCTTTATCATACCGAGGGATTAGAGAAGGCTTAATTTTAGTATACGGTCTACTTAAGTGTGATTTAGGGATTGACCTTACAAACTCTCCCTATAGGATACATTTACGAGGTCACAATAAGAAGTTGCTCAAACCGAGGTCGAATATAATACGTTTGGAATTTAGATTCTCTCACAGAGTGCTCAACGACTGGAACTCCTTACCTGATTCAGTGGAACAGTTCCATCGGTGAAGGCTTTCATAGAGAAACTATATCTCTGCAGAGATATATATCGCAGGGATTACCAAAGGCAACAAGAGCCTTCTAGCCTTACAATCTGATTATGAATTGGGAAAACACTAGATTTATTCAACCTATTCCACTTTTTGAATATCTTGCAAAAAATTTCCAACTGCTTAAGATCTACATACGGCAAAGCTCAACAATAGCGTCCCAAAGGATGCGAACGCACGAGTGAAACGCACGAGAAAAATATACAAGTATACGACGTTATAACGGAAATCGCCTCACAAATTTCAGTTTCATGACCTAAAGGCACACACGACCTTACGGAGAGGGTGAGCACCCCAAGGTCAAATATGCATACTGTGATTGGTAGATTTTACTTTGCATAAATGCTGCGGCTAATACGTAGCTCACGTTACTGAGGCGGGCTTTGAAATGATAGTAATAAAAATCGCATAAACATTACATTTTTTCAGCTTAAGGACACAAGTTAACGCATGTATAGATTCTACAAATGTGATATGCATGTAGACCGACTATAAAAAGAATATTATTGGGTAAATTAATCAAAGAAGTATAAAGTTTGAAGATTTGGACCCTTTCAGTTGATTGCAACGGACAGAGAAGAGAGGCATTTGTGTAACGTTTGCATTGTGCAGAAGACAAAGTGTGAAAGATAAATCGGAAGTTTCAGGATTCTTCAAGTTTATTATGTGCGTCGGCGGCACAGTGGTTAGGACTCTCGCCTACCATGCACATGGTCCGGGGTTCAAGCCCTCGCCGACGTACACCTGATATCTATGGTTGGCCTGCAAAATTTGGGCTACCGATACCCACGCTGAAAATTCCATACTTGTACCAAAAATACAGTGTGGAATCAAGCTGTAATCAAAAATAAAAAATGGACTGTTCATACTGGTTCTATTATTGTTCCCTCCCTTGTTCACATATTCATTGTTACTAAGATTAGGGATTGTTCACCTGAGGTAAGATTAATTCACCTGATATGTATATATCCGTAGATATTTCTCAGTGTGGCCGGAGGTGGTCAAAGGAATACAGTCTCAATCTTTGCATGGAAAGATCATAACCAGTTTCTTCTGAAGGATCAGGTGGTGCTGAAAGCTGTAAAGACTGGTCCAGTGTCACAATCATCTAAGGGAAACTGATCCACATATTGTGGATAAAACGATTAGTGGACTTTAATTTGACAATCATGTACCCATAAAAAATCTACAACTGTGATTTTTTTCCGCCCTTTTTAATGTGAATATGTACTGTTTAACTGTTGCTATTTTGTAAATATATGCATTCATGTTGACTACATGTATCTCTCTTAATTATCATTTCGAGGACATTGCATAGTTAACGAAGTTGATAGGCAACGTAGTAATACTTGTGTGAAATGCGTGATAATCGTAAATCGTTATTATTTCCTCAGTGCGTCATCAAGCCTCCCATGAAATGTTTCAGTTACACTCAATACGGCTGCGTAAAAGATTATCTTTCATCAGGGCTTCCGGAAAAATCTACGTTGAGCTTAGGTTTGTTTTGCGATTACTACATATACATAATAACAAATTTAGGGCGGCTACGTACATCGAAAATAACGCGTTATAGGTATATCCTATTGAAGAAAATCCTAGTATTCTTATCCTGCGTAAATTATCACTCTTTCAGATTAAATCACGGGCTACATCACTATTCCTTCGACAAGCAAAGGAAAGTAGTAGTGAATTCTTTAAAGAACACCGTTAAAACATTAAAGGGATATTTATTTTGATAAATAATTTCATAATATCTCAGAGATTCCAACGATGACAAGCGAATTCTTCAGTTGCACTTCATTAAAGCCTCCAAATAGAGTGAACCACTCCGTAAATTACAATTGCAACCTGCAAATCAAAAATAGTATGACATCCGTTAACAAATAATTAGCAACACGAAAATAATCCAAACCAAAGTGACTATTTGAAAAAATTTGTTTATTAACTGTTATCTTGCGAATAAATCAACTAACACTCCTTTATAGCTGTAAACTCTTCTGACAGTTACCAAGATTTCATACTTTAAAGATTCGAAACACCCCTTCACGATTTCGAAAAATATACACCAATTACCTAATTTATTTCATTTTCCTTAACGTAATCAGCAATTCACACAGAGTTTTAACATTCCACATGGAAAGAAATAACGAAATTCGATGACAGACACATATGTTCACTCAACCTGCTGAAAGCGTCTACTTACCACCATTTTTCTAAGCTTTTTCGTTAAAATATGGTTTTCATAATGTATTTCAGTTGAAAAAACACCTGATAACGACGTACAACAACCCAAACACAACATCGCAATAACACATAACGATACACCGTGTGTGCCTTCATCTGTAACACCCAAAAGCAACAGACACAATCAGCGAAGGAAGAAGAGGAAGATGCGAGAGGAAGGTCTATATTTCCAGCACGCAGGGCTCGAATTGCCCGGGTACAAGCTAATCATTGTCATTTATAACAAGGTTAGACAAACGGTCCTCCACCTGTTCCAGCACGGCCAGGCCAGCGTTCTTATCTGAAAAAGAGGAAACAGGAGACTCATTTAGTGATGTCATGTTAGTTTTTATATCATTACATCGCTCCCTCCCCTCTGGAGGCACTGTCCTCAGTGCCTGGCGGCGGTATAGGGTATGCACTACCTCCATCAGTGGGCACCTCGAAGTAGGTCGTAGCTGGTGGCGGTTGCGAAGATGTCGACGGTTCTTTGACAGCTGGTGGACAGTGTGGTTTCAGCTGGTTGTAATGTGCTGAGATGAGATTTTCCTGGGGGCGTCGCAAGTTCCGCAGGACATATGTAGTTGGAGGTCGGTGTTGTACGATTTCATATGGGCCTTTCCAGGGGGCGTAGAACTTGGGGCACGAACCGGCAGGGACTGACGGCCGATGAAGCCAGACGTAGTCACCCGGGGAATAGGTTGGTCCGTGGGCAAACCGATCATAGTTGCTTTTCTGATGCTGCGAAGAAGACTGCAGATGTCGACGTGTTAGGTTGTAGGCTGTGTCGAGGTGGTGACGAAGGTTGCGGACGTAGGGAATACAGTCGATCTTCTCGTATGGTAGCAACGGTGTCCGGATCTCAACAGGAAGGCGAAGTTCATGCCCAAACAAGAGTAGAGCCGGGGAAAATCCGGTCGACGAATGCACGGAGGAGCGGTATGCAAGCAAGCATTGAGGCAGGACATCGTCCCAGGTGTTCTCCGGTGCGTTGTGCAAAAAGGCACGAAGAAGATGCTTGATGGTTCGGTTGGTGCGTTCCACCAGTCCATTCCCTTGTGGATGATAAGGCGTAGTATGGGTCTTTCGAATGCCGAAAGCATTGCAGATGTGAGAGATAAGAAGACTCTCGAAAGCAGCGCCTTGATCAGAGTGTAGATAAAGAGGGGCACCAAAACGGGACACCCAGTTGTCGATGAAAGCTCGCCCGATCGTCAGGGCATCTTGTTGCTGCAAGGGGACTGCTTCGCACCACTTGGTGAAATAGTCGACCATGACAAGTATATAACGATTCCCGCGTCTCGATGTTGGTACTGGCCCAATGATGTCGACTCCAACTCGATGATTAGGGGCTTCGGTCAGCATAGGTACTAGGGGTGCTCGGGGAGTTGGCTTAGGCTGTTTGATCTGCGCACATATAGCGCAATTGCGGCAAAACTCCATAACATCATGGTGTATAAGTGGCCACCAGAAGCGTTGACGGATGGCGTGTTCAGTTTTCTGTTGGCCAGCGTGTCCCAGTTGATGATGCACCTGACTAATAAGCTCGGGTACTTTAACAGTTGGGACGAGGAGTCGGGGGTTGGCATTTGGTTCCACTATGTAAAGAACATTATCTATAAGTCGTAGTAAACCCCACTTCTCGCAGATGCACCGCGTGGCTGCTGGTAAATCCCGTAGTTCTTTGGACGTCGGTTTATCGTTCCCATGCTGTTGACGTAAATAAATGGGCTGTATCGTTGTGTCCGCCGCTTGCAGGGAGGCCCAGTCGGTGTCAGCTGCAGCACCGAGTAACACATTCAGTGTGTTCTCGCAATCGGGCAGGCGAGAGAGAGAGTCGGCGTTACCATGTCGTTTTCCAGGCCGGTATTCACAAGTGAAATCAAACTCCTGTAACCGTTCCTGCCAGCGGGCAAGTTGGCCGTCGGCATCACGAAAATTTTGCAACCACTGTAACGCCTTGTGGTCAGTCCGGACTCGAAATTTGCGCCCCAATAAGTAATGACGAAAGTAGGAGAGGAAGTAGACGAGGGCTAGCATCTCACGTCGCGTCGTCGAATACCGCGTCTCTCTTTTGTCTAGCATTCGACTAGCATATGCTATCACTCGTATTTGTCCGTCAGAGGTTGTTTGCGAGAGAACGGCTCCTATTGCATGTGCACTGGCGTCGGTATCCAGAATGAAGGGCCCGCTACCAGCCGATGTGTCTGGAAACGATAGGACAGGGGGAGAAGTTAGACATTTTTTAAGCGTGTCAAAGGCTACCTGGCACTCATTTGTCCAAACGAATTTCCGTCCTTTTTCTGTCAATCGATGGAGAGGGGCTGCTATACTGGCGAAATTCTGGACGAAACGCCGGTAATAGGAGGCGAGTCCCATGAAACTGCGTACGTCAGCGGTCGATTTAGGGGTCGGCCAGTTAACAACTGCTTGAGTTTTGCTGCTATCCGTATGTACTCCTTGTGGAGTAATCTCATGTCCAAGGAAAATAACAGATTTCTGCAGGAATTTGCATTTTGAGGCTTGCAGCTTAAGGTTACTCTCGCGTAAGCGTTGAAATACGGCGCGAAGGTTGGCATGATGGTCTTCGAGAGACTGGCCGAACACGATGATATCGTCCAGGTAGATGAGGCACTGTTTGGGGACTAGCCCTGCAAGTACTGTTTGCATGAGCCGTTGAAACGTAGCAGGGGCGTTAGACAGGCCAAATGGCATGGTTTCGAATTCGTACAGCCCCGTAGGCACAACGAACGCAGTTTTGGGGCGGTCTTCTGGGCGAATTTCAACTTGCCAATAGCCGGAAGCGAGATCTAGTGTGGAAAACCACTGTGCCCCACCTAAAGCATCTAAGGTAGCGTCGATGCGAGGCAAAGGAAAAGAATCCCGTTGTGTGATTGCATTTAAGCGGCGATAGTCGACACAGAGGCGGAGAGAACCATCTTTCTTTTTCACAAGAACGATTGGAGATGCCCACGGTGACGTAGACGGTTTAATCACCTTCTTTCGTAACATATCTGTTATCATGGTATCCAACTGCTGTTGGTAATGAATGGGCACTCGTCGCGGTGGCGTCCTAATGGGCAAGTTATCACCTGTCTGAATCTCGTGCTGTACGATATTAGTCCGCCCCATCACTTGCCCATCGTCAAATACACACTGTACTCCTGTAGCAGGGCCAGGGTGTCGGTACGGTCTTTTAGACTGAGGTGGGGGTTATCATGGATGTTCACCACTGTCATCTGGGTAAAGCACAAACATTAGCACTCTGGTTGCGGTTGACTGGTCGGCGACATGCGAGGTTATGTGTCCCCAGCCGAATTCGAAAGCGTCTTAGGTCAATGACAGCGTTTTTTTCAGTTAAGAAGTCCACGCCCAGTATGGCGTCCCATCGTATGACATCACAAATGACGAATGACTGAACACAAGTAAAACCTGGGAACGTCACGGAAAGTGTGGCCATGTCCGTTACCTTGATAGGGGCTCCATTGGCGGTAATTAACTGGAGCTGATTGGGGAGAGGTTGAGGTTTGACCCCAAGTGTCTGGACCAATTGCGTGCGAACAACAGAGGATGATGCCCCGGTGTCCACCAGAAAAGTGACGTCAGTGCCCTGGAGTTTACCTTCAAGGAGGAGGGGAGATTTCGAGCAATTATCAAATAATGACACATCAGAACATGGCTCACCTTGCGGTTTTTTGTTATGCCCACATTTCCATGCTCGCCGCCCGAACCGGCGACAGTAATAGCACTTACTGGGGTCATCATGCTGCTGGGACGGAATTGGAGGTTGGTTTGACGATGGAGCATTAGGCCGGCGTTGTCGTGGTGCTGGGACGGTTGTTCTTCGCTCGGTGGTCCCGAGAGCATAGCAGGGCGTACTGGCAGTTGGAGTGAGAATATGCTCGACGCTCTCGAATCGCTTTACCACCTCAATGGCCTCTGAGACTGATTTTGCTGGCTGGCGTAGAAGTTGGCACTTGAGCTCATATGATGAGACACCTTGGGCAAAACGGCTACAGATAACATCATCTTGGTTCGGGTTGGGAAGGTTGGGAAATGCGCGCGATGCCATCTCGCGGAGTTGATGCAGGTAATCGAACGCTGTTTCGCCGGGCTCTTGACAGCGGCTGAGAAAGGTGTGCATGTACACCGAAGGGCTGGAGGTTTTGGCAAAACATTCGTCGAGGACACGCCAGTTGTAGCTGATGGGTTTGGACGCGGAGAAGCCCCCAGCGATAGCACGACGTAGTGCGGTGTCACTCATTGCTAGCATTATCTGGGTATATTGTGCGTGTGGAGTAAGACCGGATAAGAGAGACTCCATGCGAATCTTCCACATTTCATAATCGCTGTTCAGGTCCAAAGTTGGTAATCCTCGCACCGGTAAGATGTGTTCTGTGGCTGGGGATTGTGGGTTGACTTTTAGGGTGGAGAAGATTTCAGGAGGATCGGAAGAATCTGATTTCATTTCGAGATTGAGTTTTGGACACCTCCGACACCAATTGTAACACCCAGAAGCAACAGACACAATCAGCGAAGGAAGAAGAGGAAGATGCGAGAGGAAGGTCTATATTTCCAGCACGCAGGGCTCGAATTGCCCGGGTACAAGCTAATCATTGTCATTTATAACAAGGTTAGACAAACGGTCCTCCACCTGTTCCAGCACGGCCAGGCCAGCGTTCTTATCTGAAAAAGAGGAAACAGGAGACTCATTTAGTGGTGTCATGTTAGTTTTTATATCATTACACATCCATTGCCTCATCTAAATGACCTTAAGAATCATTCTGCCGTGTACATCGCTTCAATATCTAATCCCATACCTGGAAGGAAATAGATATAGGTAGTTTTCATTGGCTGTTGGCTAGCTGGCTTTCTATTGGTCTAAAATATAAATTAAAGCGCCAATCTCTTTATTTTGACACGGAAATTTACAGTCAGTAAAATTTCAGGCTTACCTTACCATAATATAATGGCGTGTTAATTTTTTTGGTGTGAGTGTAGTGTGACAGTCACACGCTATTTGGATGCATTGTTGATGTTTAAAGTATATTGAGATGTATGAGAATGTCCAGAAAGTGAATATAAATCAACAATAATTTTGATGCATTTAGTTTAAGTCCAAAATAGGATGTATGCAATTTTGGTTACTAGGCGAATATAATTCAACTACCATTTCTATAAATTTAATGTGTCCTGAATTATTACATGTAGAAATATGTGTGTAGTAACTAACCTACATTTTTAAGTTGTCACTTCAATGATTTGTGGGAACTGTGCGTACTACGTCAGCATAAATGAAGTAAATTGACAAGGTCATGGCCAGTGGTATATAAGCACTGAAATATATACCAGTGTTTATTTACGCTAGTCCAAGCTTAATGTGTCCTGTGAGGGATGGAACAGGGCGGATAAGCAAACCTAGTCGGTTCGATTTACTTTCAGTCATGATAAGAAACCAGCTCTTAGTTTTAATCTCAAACAATGGCAGAACGGTTAGGCAGTTTACTTATTGAATAAGGTTACTATATTAGAAAAGTATACCTTATTTGGCTGAATCATTGCAGGTTCACCATAACCCTTGACTACCAACATAAAAACTGGGAACTTCAAGCTAAAAATCAGGCCTAATTTACCCGGAACTTATCAAGGTCATTGGTGGAGTGAGACGCTTATAGGTCATTTTCGTCCATGTTATTCGGCTATGTTGGATTGCAATTCCGTAGCTCTTTGTGTACGCGTTTGTTGTTCGGTTTTTCCTGCCGTTATACACGGCTTATCTTGTTGCGTATTGTTCACAAATGTTGCGTTTCACCTCATTTTTTGTTTCCGTTGCTGTTAAAATGAATTATTTCTTTGGTTTTGAAACTTTTCACTACCAGGTCTGTGCATTAATTTCGGTGTAATTGTTTCATATCTTGCATTTATGCGGCTTTCAGTGTTTTAGTTGTTTTTCAGCTGTTAATGAGTTGGTACTGTGTAGAAGTTTTGGAAATTATGCACATGAAGATGTTTGGCCGTTAGAAGCAGTTGTTTCCATTCCATTAGTTGGTTGCCGTTATTATTGTTGGCTCAGTTACATACATAAGATGTAGAAATCTGGAAAAAAGTGTCTTTCTCGTTCATGTTTGCAGCATGCAAATATCTGCGAGTGAATCTGATAAAGAGAGCACCATCAGAGTTGATATTAGCAAGGTTTTCGAAGAACAAATTAGACCTGGAGAATTTAGAACCTGGTTTGAAGTTGAAAAAGCTTTGAAGCTTTTTGAGAATGTGAATATACCATCAGTGTGTCTGCTATCATTTAAAAATAATATATTGTGAGAGAATCTAAGTCAAATAAGGTTGAGCCACATGAAAAGTATGAATCTGTTGTGCTTGTGTGTATTTTGGGGAACTAGAAGAAAGTGGAAACCTTAAGGGTAAGTGTTACTTATGCTTATTATTGCTTGATGTACTAGATCCAAATACATGAACTGGGACTACCCGTAATAGAGCCAGTGTTAACATCCATTCGATGGTTTGCAAAATGGTTTTCAAAGCGGATAAAATACGATGATCTGGTGAGTGTACGAACAATCCCAGTTAAAGGTAAGACATTAATTAGGAAGAATGATGTTTCGGGTTGTAATCTACGATCAGTGATTTCCTCGAAGTTGTGATTTTTCCGTGACTATAAACACAGATGCCCATGATCTTTAAAAAAACTCTAAATAAATTTTCCTTGAACCAGTAGTCTTCTTTTCTTTGGCGAAACATCCGTTGATACGATTATACGATTAGGTAGCTTAATAGGATGTTCTGTGACTGAGAATCGTGGTTGTTGGGTTTCTGACTAATTTCGCGCATCTGACTGTTATAACCGTGTAGCGGTAAATAATTCCCCAAAATTATTGACCACAGCAATCACGCATTGGATGCTGACCACCACTGTTTAAGTCGACTTGTTTAGCTGAAGGCTTCCGGTCAAGCATCCCCGCCATTTGATACCCCGTTGTGTCACGTGCACTATCACTAGCTAGTTGAGCGTTCGTCTGACGGCTTGTTTTGGTCCCAGAATATATAACGAAGTTTGGACGATCAATTATTGGCTTTTGCTTTGTCTTTGGTACGCAAGAATAAATTAATTAGAGGTTGCTGAACGAGATATCCGTGAACATTTAAACTGGTGAGCTTAACCGCGAACTTCCTCTACGATAAACCCGCAGATAACCCGGTGAGTTCGTTCCATTTTGTATTTGTTCTTGTACCATATATTATTCGACATAATTTTCGTCATGAGTGATCTTAGTCCCAAGGTCATCCGCATCCGCTCAACTCCTAAAACCATTCAGCTCGTACCATACTGGCCAGATAATGCTGAAACTTGGTTTCTGCTAGCTGAAGCAGATTTTTGTGAGCATGGGATAACCGATCAACGTTCACAGTTACTTGCAGTTATTCACGCCCTACCGTGGGAATTCAGCAAGTACTTAACATCACAGATGTTGAGTCCCGAGGTAAGTAACTCGTACTAGTTGTTCAAAGCATCCCTCCTCAGAAGAAACGTTCTCACGGACCGACAACGTATTGATGAATTATTTCGTAACATCGAGTTAGGAGATCAGTCAGCCGTGAGCATGCTGACAAGAATGAAAGAAGTCGTCGGCCAAAGTCAGTTCGACGACGACTGCTTAGAGAACTCTTCTTAACCAAGCTGCCACAGTCTGTACAGACCGTACTTGTGACACTTCAGGGTACTGTAATAGAGGACTTAGCAATTACTGCAGATAGGATTCTAGAGATAACTAAACGGTCTGTTCCCGAAATATGCTCGATGACTAAGCAGACTTCGAGTAAGGATCCTGCAATGATAGAGTTATGGAACTCCATCCAGCAGATGTTTAGGTCGAACATGCATTCTAACTCCTCCGAGCGTCGTCCTAAATCTCCTCAACGCAGGAACTCACGTGGTCGATCTAAGTCCAAGCCACGTTGATTGAAAACCCCTGACTGGTGCTGGTACCACAGCACCTATGGCCAAGAAGCGAAGTGTTGCCGTAAGCCTTGTAACTTCGGAAATGTCTCAAAGTCTTCGGGAAACTATCCCGCCGGCACGCGTTAGCGGCAACCGTCGCCGGTGGCACTAGCCGCCTACTTTACATCTATGATGTGATAAGCCAGACTCGATACTTAGTCGACACAGGCGCCTAAGTCAGCGTCCTTCCTGCTACAGCAGCAGATCGACAGAAGGAACCTACCTTCAACTTACAGGCTGCAAATGGAAAACCAATCGCAACCTTTGGTAGGAAATACGTCTATCTGAACGTCGGTTTACACAAACCTATTCGATGGATTTTCTTTCTCGCTGACGTTACAATGCCCATCATTGGCACGGACCTACTTAATCATCATGATTTACTCGTAGACGTCCGCCGAAAAAGACTGATTGACAATACTACTAGTCTGTCTATCAAAGGCATCAGCTACATAGGCCCTAGTTTGTCACCCGTTAAGATAAAGGCAATTCTTGATCCAACTTTTCAACCTATCGTTGACAAGTATCCGGAAATTAACTGCCCGTCGAACGACCTACCGTGCATAACCAGCAATGTTATGCACCACATCATTACCACAGGACAACCTGTGACATCTAAAGCACGACGATTAGCTTCTGACAAACTGAGAATCGCCAGGAATGAATTTGACCATATGCTTACCCTTGGCATCATTCGACCTTCGAATAGCCCATGGGCATCCCCACTTCATATGGTTCCGAAAAAGGATAGCAATGATTGGCGGCCCACCGGTGATTACCGGAGAGTGAATGCCAAAACGACCCCTGATTGCTACCCGTTGCCTCATATACACGACTTGACGGCAACCTTATCCGGCGCGACTATATTCTCCAAAATCGACTTGGTTAAAGCGTATAACCAAATCCCGATGGCAACAGAAGATATCCCGAAAACGGCTATCATTACGCCTTTCGGACTTTTTGAATTTCTACGTATGCCATTCGGTCTCCGGAATGCAGCCCAAACATTCCAACGCTTCACTGACGAAGTATTTCACGGTCTCGACTTTGTATGCGCATACTTAGACGACTGCCTCATTGCCAGTCCAGACAAGGAAACTCACCTTAGGCACTTGGACTTGGCATTTGAAAGGTTACGCCAACATGGTGTTACCATTAATATTCAAAAATGTCAAATCGGTGTTGACACACTCGACTTTCTGGGTCAAACTATTGACTGCAAGGGCATTCGCCCACTGGCTACTAAGGTCGAGGCTATACTGAACTTTCCAGAGCCACAGACGGTGAAAAGTCTCCGCACTTTTAACGGCTTAGTAAGTTATTACCGAC